AATAATAATAATAATAATAATAATAATAATAATAATAATAATAATAATAATAATAATAATAATAATAATCCATCTTTTCGGGAGGCTGCAGGCCGACTCCAAGGTTCAATCAATCCTGAGGTTGGTTTTCTCGGAATTAATTTCGAAGTAGGCAAAATGCAAGGGAAGGACTTCTTTCGAAATGGTTTAGACTATGGTGGAAATACAGGGGAGAGAGAGAGAGAAGAGAACAGGTATTCCCACCGCAACTTTGCCCTCGGTTGGGGCTGGTTAAACCCCCTCGCTTCGCTGCCTTCAACAGTGAAGGGACCCAGGGCAGACACCATCCTGCAGAAAGCACAGGCCCCGCCCCCCCCCTCCCCAATCCCCCGGGCGCCCCCCCCCCCCAAGTGGCCTAAATCAGGGGGTCTCCAACCGTGGCCACTTTAAGCCAGCTGGGGAATTCTAGGAGTTGAAGTCCGCCAGGCTTAAAGTGGCCAAATTTGGAGAGCCCGGATCCAGATTATGGTTGTTCCCAAAGGGGCTTCCACCACCCCAGCCCCCACAAGGGGCCACGGAAAGACTTTCTGGGATTTTTCCCCCCTCTTTGGAGACAAGTCGCTTCTCATCCCTTCTTGAGCAGAGCTTTGAAGATGTTTCGCTCGAAGAAGCTTCTTCAGGAGTTTTGTTTTTTTTCTTATGTACACTCGGAGCATTTTCACCAAAGACAAATTCCTTGCATGTCAAATCACACTTGGCCAATAAAGAATTATAATTCCTATTCTATTCTATTCTATTCTATTCTATTCTATTCTATTCTATTCTATTCTATTCTATTCTATTCTTCATTCCATTATTCTATTCTATCCTGTTCTGTTCTTATTCTTATTCTGTTCTATTCTACTCTAGTCTATTCCTATTCCATTCTTCATTCCATTATTCTATTCTATTCTATTCTATTCTATTCTATTCTATTCTATTCTATTCTATTCTATTCCTATTCTTCATTCCATTATTCTATTCTGTTCTGTTCTGTTCTTATTCTTATTCTATTCTTCATTCCATTAGTCTATTCTACTTATTCCTATTCTTAATTCTATTCTATTCTATTCTATTCTATTCTATTCTATTCCTATTCTACATTTCTTCTATTCTTACTCTTATTCTTAAAGTTGCCAAGGTTGGAGACCCTTGGCCTCAACGACCCTCTAAAAGGATGGAAATGACCAGCTGTCTGCAAGGTGTATAAATCCTTCCGTTCCCCCCCCCCATCCAGTCAGAGCTGAAGAAGCTGCTTGGATGAGAAGTGAAACGTCTCCAAAGAAAAAAAAAAACAGCAACCAGGAAGTCCAGTTGCCTCTTTGGGGGCAGCTTTGGGACCTTTCCCTGAACTTTTGCCAAACTGCTTGTGAATGGGGGGCCGTGGGGGGAGAGAGGGGATGGCTCTCCAGGGAATCTCAGGCGTTTCTTTTGGAAAGGGCCTGCTTCGGTGTCGTCCCTTTCTGCTCGCGCCGGTTTTTTCCTCTTATAGACTTAGAGGAAAGGTGATCGCCTTAGAACTGCCAACCAGATCCAGTCCGTCTCCCGTTCCGCCCACTCAAAGGATCGCTTCGCAACAGCCAAGGGGCAAAATGCGACGCCCTATATAACCGCGCAAGCAAAACTGTGCTTTAAAGAGAAACGTATCTTAACCGCCATTCCCCAGACTTTTTGCTCGTTCAGGACTTCGCAGCCTTTCAATGAGAGGATGGAAGCCAGCCGTACATTTCCCCATTCCCCCCCCCCCCCCCCCCCCCGCCCGCCTGCCCCCAGTTCAACACCTGGCACTCCCTTCCCAGCCGAGTTTGGACTTGGAAGCGGAGCAAGGATGAAACTTAGGGTGGGAGGCCGCGTGCACGTCTAGAGCGGAAGGCTGGAAGTTCAAAACCAACCAACAAATGAACAAACCAAGAAACCCACGCCTCTTCCAACGCCGTTACTCTGTCCGGTGATAGGAGTAACTACTTGCGCACGGTTGAGAAGAAAACTATCGGACTGCATCCAAGTACTCAGTGGAAAGCCAGACGTTTATTGCCTAGCCTTAGGTTCCTCCGGTTGATTTTACTCAACTCAACTTTTCCCCCCGTTGAAGTTCGCTTTTTCCAGGAAACGTCCCAAAGGTGCTTCCCCCCCGCCCCCCCCCCCGTCCTCCTCCCCAAGAGGCAACTGGACTTTCTCTGGTTTTTCCTTGAAGACGCTTCGCTTCTCATCCAGACAGAACCTGAAGAAGCTTCTTGGATGAGAAGCGAAACGTCTTCAAGGAAAAACCAAGAAAGTCCAACTTGCCTGCGGGGGAGTGGGGGGGGGGGGGGGGGGGGGGGGGGGGAAGCGCCTTTGGGACAACCGTGACCTGGATGGACTGAGAATCTCCGTAGACGTTTCCAGTAAACGGGAGGTTGAGAACTCCTTGCACACCGAAGGGAATCCTTGGGGTTATCACTTCGATGGGGGAGGCCTTCTTTTCTGTTGGGGTTTTGTTTTTTTTTGATGGTCGTTTCAAACAACGGAACTTAGTTGAGTTGATCCGGACCCACATTTTCTCAGAGGTGTAACCGGGATTCGCTCCAAAGTTTTAAAAAAAAGGGGTGGGGTGGGGGGGGAAATAAGATTCCTGCCTTGTACTGAATTCATGAGAGGGAACTAACTGCTCTGCACGAAAGAAAAACCAGTGGGAAAGTAATTAGAAAAGGGAGAAAGGCTCGCTGATGAACTCTCTCTCTCTCTCTCTCTCTTTCTTTCTTTCTCTTTCTCTCTCTCTTTCTCTCTCCGTCTCTTTCTCTCTCTCTTTTTCTCTCTCTCTTTCTTTCTCTCTCTCTTTCTTTCTCTTTCTCTCATTCTCTCTCTCTTTCTCTCTCCATCTCTTTCTCTCTCTTTCTCTTTCTCTCTCTTTCTTTTTCTCTTTCTCTCTCCATCTCTTTCTCTCTCTCTTTCTCTTTCTCTCTCTTTCTCTTTCTCTCTTTCTTTTTCTCTTTCTCCATCTCTTTCTCTCTCTCTTTCTCTCTCTTTCTCTCTCCATCTCTTCTCTTTCTCTTTCTCTCTTTCTCTCTCTCTTTCTCTCTCCATTTCTTTCTTTCTCTCTTTCTCTTTCTCTCTCTTTCTTTTTCTCTTTCTCTCTCCATCTCTTTCTCTCTCTCTCTCTTTCTCTTTTTCTTTCTCTCTCTCTTCCTCTCTCCATCTCTTTCGCTCCCTCTTTCTCCCTCTCTCTCTCTCCTCGCGTGTCAAGAGGAGCAAAGGAGCATCGGAAGGTGGGACGGGAACTGTGTGCCTTACACCTTCAGAATTATTGCTGCAAAAGACCTAAAAGATCACCGCTTACTTCTGTGTCCTGTTCTGCTCTACCCGTGGAAACGTCCAGTCCCCAATCCACACAAGCCCACCTTATTTACCCGAAAGTGGCTCCCAACGTGGATACGGAATCTACATCTGGGGTGTGATCAAGTCAAGCCACTGATTGATAGAGAGAGAGAGAGAGAGAGGCCTTTTGTCCAGAGCGATGGGGCAGCCCAACTACTACGTCCTGGCGGGCTGGACAAAAGAACCAGCGCAGGGCTGGGTTTTTCCCCAACTGCTTTTCTCTCTCTCGATATGATGCCGCCCAAATGGACCGAAGGACATTTCAACCTTCAGCCCAGCACTTGTTTAGAAAAGGCTGAACTGGAAACACAGCCTGGCTTTATTTCTTTTTCTTTTTTTTTCCCCAACACGGCACCCGCTTAGAGAGGGAGACGCGAGCCATTAGGGTTGGGTTGGACCGCAAAGCGACTTTCCACCGGATCGCCTAAGAATCCCCCCGGAGCACTGAAATTCTCCCCTCGCGTATAGACGCACCTGTGGAGCGCTGAAAAGACGCTTCCCTGGCGCCGTTCTTATAACGGCCGCCGCAGATGGCGGTGAAAGAGGGTGGGCGGTGATGGTGGCTGCATTTGGACCACCGGGAGAAGTTTGGTTAGTTTTCACACTCAGGGCTTTTTTTTTTCAGGGAGGGAGGGATGACTTAGTATTCTGAACCCAGTCTCTTTTCTGTACGGTGGAAAGCCAGACGTCGGACAAATCCAATAGCTAAGGTTGAGCGCAGCCCGGCCAGCGCAAGTTTGCAAGGTTGGCAACCAACGAAGAGGGCAGGGAGAAGCGTTGGGGTTGCGGGGCGCCTCCGGCCTTGAATCCAACCGGGACTGGGAGCAGCGGCGAAGTTGTAACTTGCCGCCACCCCGGACGCCTTTTTGCAAAGGGGCAAAGGAGCGCAAAGGCGGAGGAGGCCGCCCCTCGCGAAACCCCAATGAATTAACAAAACACACACCCGCCTCTCGCTAAGCTCCCCCCCCCCGCGACCCCGCTACTACTCCCCTACACACGCTTTGTTTCGGGCAGGGAGGGAGGGAGGGAGGGGGGGGAATCCACTGAAAGGGCTCCGAACAAGGGGCTTTGGGAGGCGCGCCCGATTGCCAGGCATCACGTGCGTGAAATAGTTACTATAAATCGCTGCACCCGGGAGTAGGCGATGGGGCGGGAGGGGGGGGGGGAGAGGGAGATCCAGGGGAGGTCTAGAGAGAGAGAGAAAAGAGGGGGGGGTCGCTTTTAAGACCAGCCCTCTCGCGAGCCCCCCTTTGTTCGCCTCCCAGCCATAAGCACCTTCCGAGCTCGCCCCCAGGGACTTCGCGGAGAGGAAGCCGGGTCCCCGGGCAACCTGTCCCGCTATGTCGCGCTCCTTCTATGTGGATTCGCTCATCGTCAAGGACGCGGCGGCGAGGCCGGTGCCTTCCCTGTCGGAGCCGCCGCCGCCGCCGCCGGCTCCCGGGCAGGACTTCCTCATCCCGCTGGGCGTGCCGGGGCCTCTGGTCATGTCCGTAGCCGGCGGGCCCGCCTGCCCGTCGCGCAAGAGCGCCGGCGGCTCCTTCTGCGTCTGCCCGCTCTGTGTCACCTCGCACCTGCACGCCTCGGCGCGGGCGGGAGCGGCGGGAGGAGGAGGAGGAGGAGGCGCCGCCGCCGCCGCCTCCCTGCAACCGCTGCTCAAGGGCCACTTCGCTCCCGGAGGAGCCGGCCCGGGCGGCGAAGGCCCGTTCTGCCCTCGGATGAGCCATGTCCAGCAGCAGGTCGGCCCGCAGCAGCAGCAGCAGCCGCCCCCGGGCACGGCGGCTCAAGCCTTGGCCCACCCACCTGTTTGTGCAGCGGCCGCCTACGGCATGAGCGACCCCCGGCGTTTCCACTGCCTCGGCCTCGGTAAGGTCCTGCCCTCCGGGCTCTGTTTGGATTCCAAACTCCATGCGCCCCAGCCACCCTTGGACCCATAGACCTCCAGCGTTATTCTGGAAGGACGCCCTGTCAGAAGTTTCTTTCTTTCTTTCTTTCTTTCTTTCTTTCTTTCTTTCTTTCTTTCTTTCTTTCTTCCTTCCTTCCTTCCTTCCTTCCTTCCTTCCTTCCTTCCTTCCTTCCTTCCTTCCTTTAAAATGAAGCATGCTCCTATCGAAGGGAGGGCGGACAATCTGCGCTGGTTTAGCTCCTCCGGGACCCTCACCGCCGATGCCCCTGCCTGCCTGCCTGTTCTCTCGGCCAGGGTCGCCTTCTCCCGGAGCCGCTCTCTGGAAGGAGCCCGCCTGACTTCCCCTTGTCCCCGCTTCCCACCCCCCCAGGGGACCGAGTCCTAAGGAGAAGCTCTGGGCTCCAGGCTCTCGGGGCATCCCCTGGGAACTTTGGGCCTTCAGCCGGGACTAAAGAAGGCGCTTCTCTCTCCTTCCCCCCCCCGCCCCCTCCCCGCGCGTTCAGGTGAGAAGCTGCTCCGGGAGGGCTGCGGAGGAGCCGCTCGGGACTCTCCCGTCCTCCCTTCCTCCTGGAGCGGAATGATCAATGGTCAGTTTCCCCAAGGAACAGCGCTTCATCCGCCAGCAGGGCCTTCCGAGCTGAGGGAAAGCCTACCACTTGACCCATCCAGATTGTTTGGATTCCAAACCCCATGCGCCCCAGCCACCCTAGGACCCATAGATCTCCAGCGTTATTCTGGAAGGACGTCCTGACAGAAGATAGTTCCTTCCTTCCTTCCTTCCTTCCTTCCTTCCTTCCTTCCTTCCTTCCCCCCCTCCCCCCCTCCCCCCCCCCCTCCCTCCTCCCTCCCCCCTCCCTCCCTCCCTCCCTCCCTCCCTCCCTCTTTCTTTCTTTCTTTCTTTCTTTCTTTCTTTCTTTCTTTCTTTCTTTCTTTCTTTCTTTCTTTCTTTCTTTCTTTCTTTCTTTTTCTTTCTTTCAAATGAAGCATACTCCTAGCGAAGAACTAGGACTTCTAGCTTGGAAGAGGTGGTGGGTCTGAAGGTCTGAAGGCAGGGGTCCCCGAAACTTGGCAACTTTTAAGACTTGTGGACTTCAACGCCCAGAATTCTGGGCGTTGAAGTCCACAAGTCGTAAAAGTTGCCAAGTTTGGAGACCTCTCCTATCTTAAGGTGAGGAGGGCTCTCTTCTTGGACCAAGGAAAGGAATCCGCCTAATCTCCATCTGGCCGGAAAAAAAAAACCCCAAAAGCGTCAAGATAGGTTAAATCGCCCCCCTCCCCCACCCTCCCGCCCTTCCAGTGCACCATAGCAAAACTCGCGCCCTCCGTAGCGAAGCGGGCAGGTGGGAGGGCGATTGCGAGCGTAAAGTCCTTGGTTCAGCCCCGGGGCAAGGAAACACTTTCACTTCCAGGGCTGAGAGAAGGCGGCCCTTAAGCCCAATCGACCGCAAAGGGTTTTTGTTTTTTTTTATTAGATCAATCGAGAGGCTCGTGTGAAGCCTCCACGTTCAAAGACACTCGGTCTGTCATCGGGAAGCAATAACGGAAGACTCGGGAGCGGGGGGTGATGGGGGGGACGATTGGTGGGAGGGGTATCTCCCCGTCCTGCTGCCGGGCTTCGGGTCCGGTTGCTCTCCCGGTGGGGGCGGAGGTTGAAGGGGAAACGTCAAGGGGGGGTTGTGGTCTAGGATGCCAAGGAAGGACAGGTGGAGGAGAAGAAGGCTGGCGTTGAGTCTCGCTTGGGCTTTTTAACCGGCTTTTCTTTTTTTCTTTTCTTTTCTTTTTTCCTGGGCTCTCTCTCCTCCTCCTCTTCCTCCCGCATCCCCAGGAGGTTCGGACGGCGCCGGCCCGCTGCAGAACGGCAAGCGGATGCGCACGGCTTTCACCAGCACGCAGCTGCTGGAGCTGGAGCGGGAGTTTTCGGCCAACATGTACCTGTCCCGGTTGCGGCGGATCGAGATCGCCACGTACCTCAACCTGTCGGAGAAACAGGTGAAGATCTGGTTCCAGAACCGGCGGGTGAAGCACAAGAAGGAAGGCAAGGGCGCCCAGAGGAACACGCACGGCGGCGGCTGCAGTTGCGCCGGCGGCAACCCGGGTCGCTTCCCCAGATCCGAGGACGAAGAGTCGCTCTCCCCGGCCTCGGCCAACGAAGACAAGGAGGTCTCCCCGTTGTGAGGTGGGGGCTTCCCCCCCCACATCCGGACTGACAATTGCCGGGGCCAGAGCCCGCAGCCGGACTCTGCCGGACTCGAAGAAGGCGAAAACGACACCATCCCTCCCCCCCCCGCGCCCTCGGGTGCTTTGATCGGTCCCCGAGTCCCGAGTTCAGGGTGTTTGCCTACCCCCCAAATTGGGGAGACCCAGATCCCGAGCCCTCTGCCCTGCCCCATCAACGGCGGAGGAAAGCGCTCGCAGCCTCATTCATCACCCCACCCCCCAAAAAAAAATTATGAGAGAAGATTTAGGGGAATCAAAGAGAAGAGGACTTGGGGGGGAAAGCTCGATTAAACCTGTTTTATACCGATCTTGATCTGAAATAGGAAGGGAGCGGGAGAGATTCTTCGAGAGAGAGTTGCTTGAAATGGTCTGGTTTGTAGGGAAATAGTTTTATATCAAATGTATATTTATATTTATTTAAATAAAGGAGGTCGGAGCAGAAGTGGGGGTGAATTTTTTTAAAAAGAAAAAAAAAAAGAAAGGGCAACGAAAGTACCCTAAAAGTCAGCAACTTTGTAAAATAAAAGGCGCGAAATAGTGGCCTTTGGAGAGAACTCTGTAAAAAAAAAATATTTGCAGATTTCTCGCTTTTCGGTTACCCCAGAAGGTGTTTTTTCTTTTCTCCCCTGTGTTAGCCAGATTTATGAAATGCATCCGCTTCCATCAAGGGCTGACTTTCTACAAAGGCCGTTATTTTCGTTTGTTCAGGTAAATTATGCTCAAAGGGTCTTATAGTCAGCCTTTTCTGAAACTGTTTAAAAAACAGACGGGACGCTACTTAAAATGCAAAACTGCTTGATTTAGTGGTGTCCGAAGGAGATGGTAGGCACTGATCAAATTTAAAAAAAAAAAAATCAAAATGGTAGGTATCCTGATCTGATCCAAACTTCTTTTTTTTTTTAAAAAAAGCATGTAAAATCTGATAAATCAGGTCACTTGCGGGAGTTTTTGGAAGCTATTTTACGTCTCCCTTCCCCATTTTTGATCCAAAGTACAAGTGAAGTTGCTGCATTGTCCCCATTTCCCAGGCCGTGTGGGATTGGTCCCCCCTTTCAAACCTCTCCCCCTACGAAGCTACTCCCAGCTTGGAATATCTAATCTAATAGGAAGCAGAAATGGCTACGTTCATGAAAATGTTAATTGTATCTATAATCCAGATTATAGATTACTTCTTCCTAAATCAGGAGGGCAGAAAACATTGATCTAATCCATTCCCGGTAACTTCCTGGTCTTTAATCTTCCTATGCTTTTCTTTGCTCTCGTTTCTATAAAACCAGACAGGGCAGAATTGACTCTCTAGAGTCACTGAGAAGAGCAACAGATCTTTTCTTTAAAACCTTAATTCAGGTTGCAACATTGCGGATCTTGTTGGACTGGAGCCCTCCATACATCCAACTAACATGGTGAACAGAGGTGATAGTTGGGTTCAGCATCAAGGCCCCTTTCTGGACCGTGATTAAGCACCATATCCAACTCCCATATGACCAGTGTGAGAAAGGATAGCGGTCAGACTTACAGCTTCAAGTAGGGTTACCAGCAAGTTATGAGGAGACAGCTGTGCTCTCTGTCTCTCTCCAGTAGAAAGCCCATTTAGATGCCCCTGGGCACACATCCAAAAGTTGTTTTTGTCTCATGGTCCACAAATTGGGAACTTCTTTTCTGGCTGCCAAAACTCTTTTCTAAATAATAATCATGTTCCCACTCTGGCAAGAGGTTGTCAGCAGACAACTAATTACCTATTATAACTTAATTACACTAAGCTGAAGCCATGCTTCCTATATAAGAAAAAGCTTACACAAATTGAATTCAGTCCATAACTCGAGGCTATTCCTTCTACAGGCATTTCTCCTCAAAGAACTTTTTCTCCATGATTTGAATTACTTTTCTCTAATAATTTGTAATATTATTATTTACAAAGTGTAACAAAGGCAATGGGGTTAAGTTGCAAATAAGTTTCAATTGTTAAGTATCTACTTTTTAATCTATGGTTTACTGAACCATAATAAAACTATTCAGATTATAATTGACACCAATTAGTCATAATCAAACACTTTCAGTGCCTTTTGCTTCAACTGGAGATTGTTCAAAAGATTTACTCTTTTTTTGATAGCAATTTACTCTTTTTTTGAGTTACAGGGAGTGTAGCTTGAATGAGCTATTGAAAGAGTTGTCCATTTATATTCCTCACTGCATATAAAGAAACTTTGAGATAGAATAGAGTTATGAAACTGAACGCTGGATTTAATTACTATAATTGCAGGCTGCTTGGTCAAAAATAGGAATCAAGATTTGCATGTACTAGTTAGTCAGATGCTGCAAGCATTCCTAAACTTGCTTAAAAGGAAGATCTCCCCGAGAAGGCAGCTTTCAAATGTACTGGTAGTGCAACTGCTAAAAGTTCAACCTCATTAACCATGTAGAGTCTTAACTGGGCAGATTTTATGTTTTCACTCCACAGAAGAAACAAGCTTCCACCAAACGTGCTGGTTTTGAAACAGTTTGAAAAGAGATGTTCTGATACTAATCTATAGATCCCTACTAGTAATCCAAATGAACCAGTGGAAATCTAGATGGCTCCCAAGTATCTTTACAGTATGTTGTTGTCATTGTTTGTCCCACCTTGTCAACCCACTGCGACCCCATGGACAATGTTTCCCCAGGCCTTCCTGTCTTCTACCATCTGGAGTCCACTTATGCTCACACCGACTGCTTCAGCCACTCCATTTGTAAATAGGATCTCCATAATCAGTGAGTTTAAGAATGCAACCATCTAAGCCGTAATTGAAATTTGGATTTTCATGAGCTTTGTCAGACTGAGAACCACTTGTTGATGAGTGAGGGGATTACAGTATGAAAATAAATCATTCTAGTTTCTACAGAGCCAAGTTGAAAATTATCTCACCTTTAAAATCAAGCATCTTCCAAGGAGATTCATCTGGTGATGTAAGGTAGCATTGTTGGTGTCAATATGAAAGTGCTTTACCCTTGCTTTTTTCTGGGATACCTGCACACACCTCTGACATCCAGTGTAGCTTGGAGACTGAAATGCCTAGGCCATCTCCCGTCCAAGCTCTAACCAGAGTTGATCCTGCTTAGTTTCCAAGGGCACTCAGTTGTGATCTCCCATATTAGACGAGTTAATACAAAATCTTTCATTGGTGTTGCAAAATCTACCTATTCAGGGAGAAACTCCTACCCAGGACATGCATTTTCACTTTGTGGAAAAGGAGTCACTCCAGATTAATGAAGGAGCGACAAATTCAACCTGCTGGGGAGCCCAAGTTGGCACTGCCCGAGGATTTGCTTTTTAATGTCTGCTTTCTCCCTAACTAGCAGACAAAGATAGATAGAAGGACCCTGAAAGGCAGGAGGCGTAGTTCAAACAGGCCAATAAAGAAGGCCTGTCACTTTAAGACAAGAAGCAGAAGAGCACTTTGATGACTTTGTATTAAGCATCCCGGGCGTCTGAGTGAGTGACTCCTGCCTGGCTCCCTTGAGGCCTGGAGTTGAAAAGCAATTCAAGGGGATGACACTTCCAGCAAAGCTGCCTTAACCAGGGCACTCCAGGGGGGAAATCCGCTTACCTACCGAAAGAATGGACTTGGATGGGGGACTTGACCTGCAGGTTTCATTGGGTTATGCTTCCCAAAGTCAAACAAAGTGAGGGATTCTGAGTTGTACAATCAAGTGGGATGCAGACCCATGCGCCAATCACCTGTATAGGATGGCTTTGGAGGAGGCAGAAACTGAATGCTGCCTTTAAGCAGATAGTGTTGTGTTTGTTTGGGAAAGAAGGAATACAAAACACCTTGGCTTAACTAGTTTGGGGAGATCAGATTTGGTCTCCTGAAACTCCCAAAAAGTTTGGCCTTAAGAAAGGAGAGGATTTTTTTCCTCTCACTTTTCCTTTCCTGTTCATGAGGGCCTTTTAACCTTAACCTTGGAAAGGACCATTTCTCTTTCCTTTCTTCTTCTCTTCTTCCTCCTCAGCTAAAGTTCAGATCTATTGCACTTCTATTGCCCACCTTCTCTCATTTCCAGGCAGATGGATTGATTTTATTCATTTTTTTCCTCCCACTACTGAAGTTCAGATTCCAAGGCAGTTTCCTCTGTCTTGATTATTGATTGGTCTAAGGGCAGCAGTTGGTCATCACTGGAGTGATATAACGCCTGCTTGTATCAGCACTGTTCATTCAGAAGATGTCAGGAATTACTAGTGAGGAAACGGCCCAAGTATGCTTAGTGCAAGGCTTAAGACTTTGTGCCCAGTGCAGATATGTGCACGCAAAGAAGAGGCGGAGGGAGGATATGCCAAAAGTAGAAGGCAGAGAATGAATGAATTTATGCAGAAATGTATGAAAGGTCTAATTTATGAGAAAAGGGGTGCATTCTCAATGATGATGAGAAAAAGAGGAGATACATCCACACAAGGGAGGTAGTCAGGAACATCAAAGACTAAAGAATGGTAGGCTAAATTCCATCTTTCTGCAGTCAGGATGAGAGCCTCATCATCTCACTGCAGAAAAGATACTATGGAAGTAATTGTCTGCCATATTTATCTCTAATTAACAGCAAGAGAAGGAATGCAAGCTTTTCTATGGTCCGGAATAAAGCAGCAGATGAAAAGACGGATGTGAGAAATGACAGCATGGATGGATTTACACATTGCTCTAAATGCTGTTCCAATTGTGGATTGTCCAACAAGCCACAGAGGCAGAGTTCAGTAATCATGCTAAGCAATGGGTCCCAGTTTAAAAACTAGGATGACTGACTTTACAGATCACCTTATGGATGAGAGGCAAGGGTAAACCTAGCCTGAGTATCTAGGGCATATGCATGTAAGGGTGTGGAATGAACATCCAGCCTTGTGGCAAAAACCAGCACGTTTGAGAGTGAAAAAACAAAACAAGTGCAATGGCATCTGTGAGAGAGGATGTTGTAAGCCAAGTGATAAAATC